GCACAAGTTGATACTCGCTGAGGCAAGTTGTTTGTGGACAATTGCCGTGGAACCCAGTTTCCGTATTTATGGACTTCTCAGAACTTATGTTACAACGCAATAATTATTGCATATATAACAGGATCAACTGTTGATTTAAATTGATCATCATGATGAGTTTACCATCAACATCATTAAAAGTATCTAATTTAATTGAAAATAAAGAAATATTATTTCTTGTTTCAGTTCAGATCTTACTTCAACAATAGCTATTGATTTGGGGAAAAAACTTTAAATCATAATGATTTTAACTTTCTTTTATATGATGAGAGTCCACCATCGACAACATTTGATACATTAAAATTTGATGATAATAATATTGAGGAATATATTAAAAGTGATTGGTAAAAAACAAAAAAAAAGAATTCAATCAATTATGATTGTTGACTTTTTTTCGTTTTCGTAAGGAAACAAATGAACTAAATAACTTCTATATGTGTGTATTTTAACTTATTTTGTCTATTGTTTTGTTCATCTGACATTTTCCCAAATGGAAATTCTGAAATGAAATATAATAAAAGAATTATCATACGATTTATGTTGCTCCTGCAATCGTTAAGTTTATCTCTTTTTTCTTTGTATCGTTCGAATGTATTACTATGATGTAATTTTGTGTGTCTATATTAAATGAATAAAATCTCAATATAAAGAAAATTAAGAGAAAAGAGATTTTTTTACTGTGTTATTTTATCATGCATTAAATAAATTCTGTTTCATGATCATCAATTTCGTTATCTCAAAAATCTATTATGATGATTCTATGTAATGCATAATATAGTTATATTTAAATTCCATATATAACACTGAATATAGTCAGTGGTATATATGGAACGATAATTATTAATATGACATCGATGAACTAAGAAGTTGACTTCTAGTATTAGTAATTTCTAATATCATAAATAGAGATTGTGCTGCTTTAGTGTTAATTTTCTTGTTCAAAAATGTCAATATCTGTATAGACTGAAAGAATTATTAGCTATAGATTTTACTTTTTGAAAACTGATTTGATCAGTCCTAAAATTTAGTATTGTAGTTAAATATCAAAATTTAGTTATCAAGAAAGATTTGTAATCAATGAAGAGTATTACTGTCTCGTTAATATTCGTTAGTTTCTAATGCATTAGAGAGATTTACTATATTCTTTTAGAATCAATTAAGTTTTTTTCCGGATTCAATGACGTAAATTTGTCTTACTGTATTATTTATAAATACATTAGATAGATAGAGAAGTAGTGAGATTATTTTACTATTTGATTTTAGAATGTGTTAGCCAAATATTGGACTCCTTGAATATCTATTTGATTGTTTTCACAATTGAATGAAATGAAAACTAATATCAGATAATAAAAATTGAATACGAGATTGAAAGTATACAATACATTTTGACTATGTTAGTTTGTAATCCATTCAATAGATAACTTCATATGGTTGTTTCAACACCAACTATACTGGATGAGTGCCAGGAGGTGAAAGATTAAGTAAGATTTAGCATTGCAGTATAATAACATTTCATTTTCAAGTCGTGTTATATGTTTTAGTTAAACTTTTAAAATCGATCGTTTATCACCGATTTTTTATCAATTATAAGGGTACTGAAACTAGTCTATTTTACTCCTCGTCAAAATCTCAGCTCTAAGTTTTGACCTCACTTTTTCTCATAGTACAATAAGGGCCTTGGATTAGAGTGAATGTATTGAGTATTGTCACGAAAAGCTAGCTAGTCGTAGAAGTTAAACTCGATTTAAAGATTTTTTACATTCAAAAATTTCGAGCTCACTTTCTGAACTACTTTCAACCGACTATCAGAATCTCTCAATCTTTCGATACAAAAATATCAGAAAAGTATCTATTCCACTGAGATAGTTCTGTCAACATTAGTATGATGTAACTATGAAAATATCTAGGTATTAAGAAATCCAAAAATATAAAGCCTAGTATAAAATCGAACTTTATAGATCATCTTATCTTCTTATAGGAAATAGTATTCTTTTACGAATCGAGAAATCTTTCAATTACGTTAAGCAATGATTTGAAATAAGAGATTACATCAAATTTATCAATTCTTGCGAGTTACTATACGGCAAGTTGTAAAAGAGTTCTTCCATCTTTCTTAGTATTAGCGTATATGGAACGTTACAGATTAAAATACAAGTTGTTACTATTAGAAACTTTAAGAGTTATATGACTTTCAAGTTGTATATATTCGTAGAACTCTAATAATTAACTTTGTTCGAAAGAACTAGTTAGTTAATTGTTATGTTAAAAGGTTGTTTCAATTTAAAATTATACCGGCGATTGTTTATATTACAGTTTGCATGGCATTGCATAGATAAATTTATTTTATCTGAAGACCTACTACCGGACTACCATTGAACTTGATTGCAAATAAAAACTTGTATCTTGATTCTTGATCATCAAAATTCAAATTTATATTCCTTTTATTAAACACTATATGGCAATAATCTTGATTATATACTAGTTTCTTATATTTGACAAATTAATTTTTAATCGGTTGGTAAATGCTCTATTTTTATTGGTTTTTTTATTTTATTGTTTTGTTAACTGCTGTTCATCATTTTGGCAAAGCTTTCGATGACGATGATTTTCCATGTCAAGGAAAATAATGTTTATCAATTTATTTTTTAAAACCACAAAGAGTTACCTATCATACTTCATCAGATTATCATTGAAAAACGAATCATTCATTTGGTTTGTTTCATTGAAATTTTTTAATTAAAATCTATCATTAATATATATTTATGGATGAATTAACAAAGCAAGACTCATCGAAAAATAAAGTATTAACACATACTCCACGCGTTCGTTTTGATACAATTATTTCCTAATTATCATGATCGTTTTTCGACTACGAATACCATCTAGAACAACTACACAAATTGTAATACCTTCTTCAAAAACAAATAACCAAACTGTCGCAGTTGCTAATGGAGATACTAATCCTTCACGTATCTATTTTAAAGAAAAAGAAGTACACTATCTAATTCACAATCAAATACAAGCGAGTGACCCATATGATTGAAATTAAAAAACACAAAACTGAAAAATAGAATTACGCCTTTTTTTTCTCTATTGTTGTATATTCAATGTGAAAAGAAAACATGCTCAACATGATATTTGGTTATTTTTCATAGATAAGATGTTCATAAATAAGATTGAAGAATAATAAAAGACTAAAAATTTAAATGTTTTAATTTTTAATTGCATAGAAATATTTTAGAAGACTTGAATACAAGATTTTTATTTTATACTCGTAATTAATATTGTAAATACGAGAAGAGTCATTCGTAGAATGAATGAAAAATCATTCTTTAATATTTTGACAATTTCTATATTCTATATTTATTCTTCTTCGAATTTGAATATTCAAGAAGTTTGTTTTCTTATCCCGCAAACTATAAACAAGAATCATAAGAACTTTACTATGAAATTTGAGAATGAGCGTTTATTCTGAATATTCACTATATTTAACCTTAAGAAAGAATATTTACAAGTAAGATATTGAAAACTTTCATAGAAATTATTCCCTATATGATATTCTATAAGTATCTTCAATATCTTGTCAATGTTTACTCATTTTAATGAACGTTGTTTTGTATATTGCCTTATTCCACGATCACTTTCAATAGTTACTAACGATTCTATATTACCTTCACCATCTATACACATTTGCATTGTAGAGAGTGATCTATCTGATTTTTATTGAACTCAAAATTTAGTTAAACTCCTTCACACAATAGGGTGTGAGTGTGGAGTGTGTGGATGTGGAGTGATCTACTACTGATGCATACTCACATCCACACCCTTCTCAGTATGAGAAACGTTTCCTACGAGTCATATTCTAGAGCCTATTGTATACTTTAGCCGGTGTTACGAACGAACTATCGTACAGTACATAGTTTCATGGTCTTGTAGCATTAGAATCAAGATTGCAGCAAAAGCACTGTTCGATAGAACGGTAATAATCAACACAGAGATGTAAGTGTGGAGTGTGTGAGTCTGAATAAGAGTAAGAAAAAACCTATACCTACACCCACCATAGTTAGGTAAACTAATCTTTGTTTTCTTCTCCATTGTGATAGTGTTATTAGTCGGCGATAAAACAACTGTGAGGATATATCGAACTTAATTAACGAGATAGGAAAAGTGAGTGAAGGATAAAGTTCAATTACGATATCTTCTCGTAATCAATGTATAAATCGGGCCACTGAGTCATTGCTATACAACAATATAAAAGAAAACTTTCTAATTGAACTCTGTGTAGCTAGAGACTGCGGTGCTAAAGCTTAATAGCTTTCTGAGCCTCTGATCGTGAGGACAATACATCGGATCCAGAGTGACTGATAGATATTGTTAACTTGAGAGGCTCGCTAATCCCTGTACCATTTCGGATATGTGAATCTGCCCATAGTATCTGGCCACTAAGAAATTTGCAATGCTGAACAATTGATTTTATGTACTTGAAATGCGGCTCTTATTAGTACTTGTTGTTCAATCAACTAAATGGAGTGTCAACATAAATATTCATCGACAGGATAATTACTTTTCAAACAATTCTCTCCTTCGGCAAGAGTTCATCAAATTGAACATCATAGTGCATGTCATATCTATGTGAAGCATCGATGGGTAACTATTGTGCTTCTTATTTGCGATGCGAACATACTATTGAAATGTAATACAAAGATATTGCTACAACTATACACATCAAGCATCTTACAAAGCAACAAATCCACATTTTCATACAGATTCAATTTAGTCCTTCTACTTACCATGTTAACATCGTTAATCTATCCTACTCGCATTGCAAAATCATTCTCATTAGTTGCATTGTCATCGATCTACCATTTTCCGTCCTGATATTTACTCGATATTATCATATGTTTAATCCTTATTTTTGTTTTTCACCCAAATCACATTTTGTCTAACGATATGATTCAAAAATGAATTGCTATCGAGCGATGCACTGCTCGATTTTCATCGTGTCTGTTCTCATCTCAACAGTGGTTGGCTACAAATATGTCGACTACAACATTCATGGGGCTGTTACACCTGGCTGGGAATTCGTTCGTGATCTCTTCCGAGATAATTTCGCCCAAGATCGAGATTTAGGTGCATCAGTAGCGATTTATCATCAAGGCAAATTAGTCGTCGGATTGTCGGGTGGATGGTTTGACCAATCGCGAGCAAAACCTTATGATGATAATGCATTGCAGGTGGTCTTTTCTACATCGAAAGGACTTGTGGCTGCGACTGTGGCGCTTGCTGTTCAACGTGGTCTACTCGACTATTCGGCATTAGTCACTCGTTATTGGCCTGAATATGGACAGTACGGCAAGGAAAATACGACAGTGGGCGATATTCTCTCTCATCGTGCCGGGCTGCCTGATGTTGCAGTTCCGTTCGAGCAATATATGAACTGGACAGCAATGATACACACATTGGAAGATCAATCACCATCTTGGCCACCTGGATCAGCTCATAGTTATCATCCACTGACTTACGGTTGGCTTGCCGGTGAACTTGTTCGACGTGTTGATCCGAAAAAGCGTTCGTTCGGACAGTTTATTCATGACGAAATTTCAACACCGTCAATAGTAGAATTCTACATCGGTCTACCATCAACACAAGAACATCGTGTATCACCACTCGAATTAAATCAAATATCGAAAGAGATCATAAATGATTCGATAACTGCTAGCATATATTCATTCAATGAACCTCGCTTACATCAAGTAGAAATACCGGCAGTGAACGGAATTACAAATGCATGGTCACTAGCACGATTCTATTCGTCATTAATTGGCGATTTAGACGATGGCAAATACAAGCGAGTATTGAACAAAGATATTATGAAACTGGCAACCAAATTGAATATGCCAGACGGTGAACTAGATCTTGTCTCACAAGCACATTTACCATTTGGCATGGGCTTTATGCTTTTCGATAAGATGCTTCCTAGACTAGGATCAGGAAGTTTTGGTCATTTTGGTAATTTGGAATATTCACATTTTTGAACATTCCTGTACATTTTTTGATTGTAGGAGCCGGTGGAAGTATTGGTTTGGCTGTACCGTCGCAAAATATCTCTTTTGCTTATGTCATGAATCGACTGGACATAACAGTGGTAGGTCTTGATCCTCGTATCGAGCCGATACTCACCAAACTTGCCGATGTGATCAATAAATAGATGTCACACGCAAAATTAATCTTAGGCACAATTCATTGTAATAAAGAGCGAGAGAACATAACTTTTTTTTAAAATGAATTCTAACCCTTACTATCAATAAAACAGCAGAATATTCATTTTCACTCGTTTAATCGAAGACTAAATGCAGTAATGACTTCTATTTTAACGTCAGAAGATGATTCTCGAAAACAGCTTTACGAACAGACACATGAACACCTTCAATCTTTAAATTTTACTTTGGGTAATCTAAC